CTATTCGTGGTTCTTCTTCTCAACCTAGTGTTACTACCCCGTCGTCCTCTAACCCAAAAACTAGGGCTTGATCTTCTCGTAGATCTTCTGCTAGAAGTAGGGATTCTAGTGAACCTCTTCGATAACCCACTATTGATGATATTGTCCCCGCTAAACTTTCCTTCTCTACTAATCGAGAATCGATTAGAAATCAAGTTACATCTATGACTTCCCATGATCGTGCTGATGTTTACCCTTCCCAGATTACTGAGGGTTGATTTCTCTTGTGTGAAGTGAATGCCATTGGAAATCTGATTTTCCAATTTTAGTCCCTAATGCAAATCAAAGGATCATATCATACAAAGTTGGTTATTCCTTTATTTATACATATCCCTTTACATTACGCTTCAGACCACCTAGTGATCCAGTCTTTATAGAATTTTGACGTTTCTTTAATGTTTGCTTAGGACAGATTGGTCCTATTGTATGGAGAGTCATGGCATGCTTAAGATAGTTGTAGAATTTGGCCTCTTTACCCTTTACCCTTTATCACTTGATCCATCTATATTCCCCTAAGTTGTTTCGTTCTGGGTATTTACTCTCATGACTAGGAGTAAAAAGGTTTTGGTTAGCCCTGAAGATGATAAGGATCATGGCTGGTGTGCTCGTTTCGTTGCTGCTCCCACAAAAAGTTTAGTGGGTGATGAGAACATGAGTTTTTAAGAAAAATGGAACTTTGCACGTAAGTTTTTTTTAACCTTCTTCTTCTTTTTCTATTGAAGAAACAAGAACTTACAATCTCGTGACAGTATACATTTTCCTTTTTTTAGCAACTATGGAAGCTGTTGAGGAGATTCCAGACTTCCGTTTTTGGGTAGGAAAATTGTTGAATGTTTCTACTATGGAAGGAAGGTCTTGGAAGTACCTTTCTAATAGGCTTGGTTCGAAAGTGAAGACTCATGGTATCCTTCCTTTCAATTTTTTTACCTCGCTTCCACATTTACTTGAAAATTTACTAACTTCTTTCTTCGTTAGGGTTATACATTCGGGGTGGGTATTAGCATCGCATCTATTGTTGCTTCAAAACTTTATCTATCTATGACTCAAGAGATGATTTTGAGTTCCTCATCAAAGAGAAAAGCTAATAGCGCACACGGTTCCGAGGGTGAAGAGGATCATGAGGAGGGCTCATTAGTTCGTAGGTCTCGAGCTAGGAGACGTGTCATCTCGAATGGCGAAGCCATTCCTCCTCCAAGTTCAGTTCCCATGCACGAGCCCGAAAGTGCCACTTTGGTGAGCTATGATGAAGAGATACCTGCCGCACTACCTCATGACTATACAGAACAATTTTTTCTCATGGGTTTGATAGTGAAGATTTCGGCTTCACTTCTGAGGAACTGCATCTCGCCTCTTTCCCAGTATTTGTTCTAGTTGATCCACAGTTCCCCGCACCTATTGCTGCTACTACTTCTCCGCCTGTGGCTATTTTGACTCCCTCAACTACCCCTACTGTTACAACCTCTCACGTTGAAGTTAGTTCTTCCAGTAATGATAGGGTAATGAAAAAAGATACCATCGAAGTCCCTGGGGATGGTAATCTTCTAAAGAAATCTGGCCAAGCCAATGTATGGCTAAAACCATTGATTAGTCCAGTTGAGAAGTCCAAATTGGAAAGCCACAACTCTTTAACGTGGATGAATGAAATTGTCTATTCATCTTTAAAGGTATAAGCCTTAGCTTTTTATTTTACAAGTGGCTTTCTTTTCATCTGTATTTGGTAATCGCATTTTCCCTTTCCTCGTGTATATCAACCTAATTGGCACGGACCTGATGAAGAGGATCGTCCACACTGAGCAATTAATGAACGACTATTGCACCGAATCGGACAACTGGAAGGAACATTTTGATGTCCTTGAGCTTGAGAAAGAAGTTTTAGATAAGGAGAAGTGTACCTTGAGGCAACAAGTGAAGATAATGGCAACAAAGTTGGCGATTGAAAAGGCATCTTCTAATCAAGTGGGCAAGGATAAAGTCCTCCTCGAGTATTTATTTTCCGAGCAGCCAAGCTCAAAAAGATCTTCGTGTTTCTTTTGACAAAGTTCAGTTCTTAGAGAGGTCACTTGCTCCCTTACAAGCTTCTTATGATGCTACTTTGACTGAAAAGGAAGAGCTAATTTTCGAAATTGAACAGTGGGAGAGGAATTATGAAGACCTTGAGGACAAAGCTACTGTTGATGTTAGTTGGGCTTTCTTGAACATGCACCTCAAAACTTTAATAGAGTCAAGCCAGGAAGGTTTTGACTTAGCTGCTGAAATTGCTAAAACTAAAGAAACTATTGAGAAAACTCAGCAAAGTCAAAACTTTTCTTCACCGGATGTAATAACTCTGTTGGGCGATGCATATTGTTACCATATTGTTGGCATTTGTCACATTTGGCAACAAAGTTTTCTGCATCTTCTTCATTTTTGGCCAATAATATCTTGCTCTAATTAGAGTTTTCACCAAGGATCTTCCTCCTGCGTGATTTCCACAATGTCCCTCATGTACTTCTCTCATCACATACTCTGTTTGTGAAGGTCCAAGACATCTTGCTAAAGGTCTACCAAACATCTTTCGATATAAGTTGCCTCGATCCAAATAATAACGGGCAGCTTTTTGTCGAAGTGCCTGAGCCTTTTTCTTATCTTCAGGTAGAATCCCGTACTGCAAAAAATTAACGATCTCATTTCTCCAATCCTAAGTTAAATTACTGAAATTTACCTTATTTTTATCTTGATCCAGTGCCGAATGAAAAAATGTCTTACGAAAGGATTTTTTTCATTTGTCACTTCTGCAGCGGATGCAATATTACCCAACGCGTCTGCTTCAACATTTTCCTCCCTAGGTATTTGCACGATTTTCCAAGATTGGAATTGTCTGATTAAATCTCTTGCCTTTTTCAAATATTGTTGCATCCTCGCCTCTCTATCTATATAAGTCCCCTACATTTGATTAACTACAAGTTGCGAGTCGCTCTTGATTACAACCTGTTCTATTCCGAGCTCTCGTTCATATTCAAGAGCTGCAATTACAGCTTCATATCCTGGTTCATTATTAGTGGTGGGATGGCACTTTATGGCTTGCCTTATAGTTTCTCCTGAAGGAGGGATTAGAATAATTCCTAAACCCGCTCTTTTAACATTTGAGGAACCATCAGTAAATAGGGTCCAAGTACCTGGATTAGATCCATTGAATACCTACGGTTCCTTTTCTGCTTCTATTACTATTCCTGGGCTGAAGTCTGCCACAAAATCTGCTAAGACCTGTGATTTTATTGTAGTTTTAGGTTGATATGTGATATCATATTCACTTAACTCTATAGCCCACTTGGCTAATCTACCTGATAATTCTTGCTTACGCAATATATTTTGTAAGGGGTAAGCGGTCACTACAGAGATAGGGTGACATTAAAAATAAGGCCTCAACTTTCTAGATATCATTATTAATTCTAAAGCAAGTTTTTCAAATGAGGATATCGAGTTTCAGCATCCAATAAGGATTTGCTAACATAATAAATTGGAGATTGTTTACCTTTGTCTTCTCAAACTAATACTGCACTTATCGCTATTTCTAACATAGTGAGGTAGATGAGTAACCTTTCTCCATCCTTCGGTTTGGCCAGCAACGATGGGTTTGACAAGTATGTTTTTAGATTTTTGAATGCTTGTTGCCATTCCTCAGTCCACTCAAATTGGCTTTGTTTTTTCAACATTGAAAAGAACTTAAAAAATTTCTCCGAAGATTTAGAAATAACCTTCCCAATGCTGCTATCCTACCTGTTAACCTCTGCACCTCTTTTTTGCTCGTGAGTATATCCGGTATTTCTTCAATGGCTTTAATCTGTGCTGGATTTACTTCAATTCCTCGATTACAAATAAGGAAACCTAAAAACTTACCTGAAGATACGCCAAATGCACATTTTTTAGGATTTTACTTCATATTGAATTTGCGGAGAATTTGAAATGTATCTGTCAAAAGGTTGATGTGATCCCCCGCATGTGTTGACTTGGCTAGCATGTCATCAATATAGACTTCCATGGTTTTTTCCAGATGTTCTTGAAACATCTTCGTTACTAACCTCTGGTACATGGTTCCAGCATTCTTTAGGCCGAAAGGCATGACTTTATAACAGTAAGTCCCCCTGTCTGTAATAAAGGAAGTTTTTTCCTCATCTAAAGGATCCATTTTTATTTGATTATATCCTGAGTAGGCATCTAAAAAACTCAACAATTCATGTCCTGCAGTAGCATCAATTAGTTGATCTATATGTGGTAAAGGAAAGGAATCTTTAGGGCAAGCTTTGTTCAAGTCAGTATAGTTTACACAAACTCGCCACTTACCATTCTTTTAGGGCACCACTATAGTATTAGCTAGCCAATTAGGATATTTTGCCTCTCGGATAGACCCGATTTTTAAAAGCTTTTGTACATCATTCTAAATCACCTGGTTTTTGAAAGATCCTTGCTTCCTTTTTATCTATTTGACAGGTGGGTACTTGGATCTTCATTCAGCTTATGGGTCATCAACTCCGGTGGTATACCTGTCATATCTGAATGCGACTAAGCAAAGCAATCTGCGTTAGCTTTTAAAAATTTAATTAACTTACCTTTCATTTCTAGGCTCAGGTTGGTTCCGATGTAAAATTTTCTTTCCGGCCAATGTATAAACAGCACCACAACTTCGAGTTCTTCAATTGTTGTTTTGATGTTTTTGTTCTTTTATAACTCTTGAACAGTACCAGCCTTGAGTCTACAACCGTTTGTTTATCTCCAGTTGAGGTTTAAGTTGTTAAACCCTCAACTGAATTCTATAATTGCTATTTTTCGTCTACAACGTCATTTTTATGCTTGAATCTGCCACTGAATTGATACTTCTAGAAGCATGTTTATCACCACAGATTTGTCTAATTCCCCATTGGGAAGGGAACTTAATAACCTGATGTAAAGTAGATGGAAAAACATTCATCTCGTGAATCCAAGGTCTATCGAGGATCATATTGTACGCCATGTCCATATCTATCACTTGAAATTTCGTAGATTACTCCTTCTGCGAATGTGGTGAGCACTATCTCCCCTTTAATAACGATGCTTGAATAGTCAAATCCAGATATACGTGCTTTGGGTACCAATTTGTCATTAGCTTGCATCTCATTTATCACTCTTAAAAGAATGATATTTATAGAGCTACCTGGATCAATCAAAACTTGTTCGACATTATTATCATGTACAAGTAAAGATATTACCAGTGCATCATTGTGTGGGATCAACACGCCATTTGCATCTACATCATCAAATGTTATATTGTCTTCTTCCAAAGCTTGGCGAACTCGCTTTCTGTGGGTAACTGTGACTTTCGACACCTTTTTTGCAGCTGTATATGTCACACTGTTGACCTCATCTCCTCCGCTTATCATGTTAACCGTTATTTTCAGTGATGGAGGTTTTGGTGGCTCCTGTCTATTCTTCATATATGCTTGCTTACCCTTCTAACTAAACAAATTGGTTAAATAATTTTGTTTTAGCAATTGCTCTACTTCACTTTGTAGGAACCTGCACTCTACTGTTTTGTGACCGTGATCATTATGAAACTCGCACCAGAAATCTGGGTTTCTTCTGCTAGGGTTCCATCACATTTTTTTTGCCACCGCACCTTATCTCCCATACTTCTTAAAATAGTTATGTTTACCTTGAAAATGCTATTTACAATTATATTTGATTTTGTGGTTCTAAAAATATGTGATTTATATTAATATTAGTTGTTAAGCAATAGATGCTCAGTGTAAGTAAAAAGAATAAGATATGCAAACCAATATTGTCACAAGGTTGGGCCTCGAGGTCTAGCTAGGGCAGCTAGCAACGAACGATTGGTGAAGAAACAATGGTAATGAAGGCCTCAAAGAATCCAGATATACGTGCTTTGGGTACCAATTTGTCATCAGCTTGCATCTCATTTATCACTCTTAAAAGAATGATATTTACAGAGCTACCTGGATAAATCAAAACTCGTTCGACATTATTATCATGTACAAGTAAAGATATTACCAGTGTATCATTGTGTGGGATAAACACGCCATCTGCATCTACATCATCAAATGTTATATTGTCTTCTTCCAAAGCTTGGCGAACTCGCTTTCTGTGGGTAACTGTGACTTTCGACACCTTTTTTGCAGTCGTATATGTCACACTATTGACCTCATCTTCTCCGCTTCTCACGTTAACCATTCTTTTCAGTGACGGAGGTTTTGGTGGCTCCTGTCTATTCTTCATATATGCTTGTTTACCCTTCTCACTAAACAAATTGGTTAAATAATTTTGTTTTAACAATTGCTCTACTTCACTTTGTATGAACCTGCACTCTGCTGTTTTGTGACCGTGATCATTATGAAACTCGCACCAGAAATCTGGGTTTCTTCTGCTAGGGTTCGATCACATTTTTTTGGCCACCGCACCTTATCTCCCATACTTTTTAAAATAGTTATGTTTATCTCGAAAATGCTATTTACAATTATATTTGATTTTGTTGTTCTAAAAATATATGATTTATATTAATATTAGTAGTTAAGCAATAGATGCTTAGTGTAAGTAAAAGAATAAGATATGCAAACTAATATTGTCACAAGGTTGGGCCTCGAGGTCTAGCTAGGGCAGCTAGCAACGAACAATTGGTGAAGAAACAATGGTAATGAAGGCCTCAAAGAATCCAGATATACGTGCTTTGGGTACCAATTTGTCATCAGCTTGCATCTCATTTATCACTCTTAAAAGAATGATATTTACAGAGCTACCTGGATCAATCAAAACTCGTTCGACATTATTATCATGTACAAGTAAAGATATTACCAGTGCATCATTGTGTGGGATAAACACGCCATCTGCATCTACATCATCAAATGTTATATTGTCTTCTTCCAAAGCTTGGCGAACTCGCTTTCTGTGGGTAATTGTGACTTTCGACACCTTTTTTGCAGCCGTATATGTCACACCGTTGACCTCATCTCCTCCTCTTATCACGTTAACCGTTCTTTTCAGTGACAGAGGTTTTGGTGGCTCCTGTCTATTCTTTATATATGCTTGCTTACCCTTCTCACTAAATAAATTGGTTAAATAATTTTGTTTTAACAATTGCTTTACTTCACTTTGTAGGAACCTGCACTCTGCTGTTTTGTGACCGTGATCATTATGAAACTCACACCAGAAATCTGGGTTTCTTCTGCTAGGGTTCGATCACATTTTTTTTGGCCACCGCACCTTATCTCCCATACTTCTTAAAACAGTTATATTTACCTTGAAAATGCTATTTACAATTATATTTAATTTTGTGGTTCTATAAATATGTGATTTATATTAATATTAGTTGTTAAGCAATAGATGCCCCGTGTAAGTAAAAAGAATAAGATATGCAAACCAATATTGTCACAAGGTTGGGCCTCGAGGTTCAGCTAGGGCAGCTAGCAACGAACGATTGGTGAAGAAACAATGGTAATGAATGAAGACAACCTTTTGCGGTTAATAATGGGCAATAAATGAAGAACAATAAATGAACAGTGAGTGAACAAGCAATAAATGTATAGAATATTCGTTGAGCACGTTCAGGCAAGAAAACAAAGAATGTAGTGTTGCGTTCAATAATTTGTGTTCCCCTTTAAAAAATGACAAGAGTCCCCTTTATATAGGAGAGGAGAATCACAACATAATACATGTCTAATAATAGCGAGGAAATGCTATTGGTACAGCTGTATAATGACTCAGTACAAATTTGTACTATTCTTGCAGACCTGGTCAGCTTTAACCACGTGTCCTTGGGAGCATTCTCGCCTTTCTATGATGATCATCGATTTGTACTACCTCGATGTTGACCACAGTGAACCTTCGATACATTCCCTCGAGGACACACCTCGGGGTCACACTTCAAATTTTACTTCGAGCTCCTCGAGGTCGGGCATGGAGTGCCTCAGTAGCCCCAAAGTGGAACTCTTTGATTTTGGCCGTATACAGATAGTCCCCGCATTTCATAGAATAGAATGATATGAATGACTTTGACCTCGATTTTCTCGATCCTCTCATGATGACTCCATGCTCGTGACGTAAGCGCTCGAAGTAATTGAAACATCCCATCGGTTCGTCTCCCTAGAAGCATTGAATATACCGCCAGTCCATTTTACCAAGAGCGCTGATTGCACCGCCGATCCGTATCCCCAAAAGCATTGATTACATCATCGATTCGTTACTGTCCCTCTATATATAAGGGATTGCTTGAACCGAAACTTCACTCATTCTTTCTTCAACGGCCTTTAGCCCTTTCCCTTCTCTATATCCTCCTCCAAACTCCTATTTTTATGGTTCTAACTTGTGACCATAAGGTCATACGGCAGCAACTTTGTCAGTTATGCCATGGCTCTTTTTCAAAGCTTTTCCCCACTGAGTGGGATTATACTGAGTTGTTGTTGTCGTTGTTGTTATTGGCCCAAAATAATGAGAGGGTCATCGAATATTTTTTGTATCAGAAGATATGTGGTCCTTACACTGTTGCTCATCTCTCTTAACTTCATCCTGGTGTGACGCTTCATTCCTGCTGCTTTCCGTGGAGTGAGGTGGCACTATCTACTAACTTTTGGATCCTACACCGTTACAATATCTCAAGAAGTGGCTTCACAATAGTAGTGCTGACGAGATCCGTACTCGCCAAGTTTCTCACCCTACCACAATTTTCTTCGCTTGTTAAAAGCTTCTGCTCTTTGGCAGGCTATAGCATTTTCTTGATTTATTGCTGTTTCGGAGGAAGTTCTCAAAGAATCCACTTTAAAGTTCGAAATGGAGTCCCCGGGGAAGAGGTTCTTGAAGATGTTTCTCTTGAGGATACACCCTCAAAAGTAGATTAGGGCTTTGGCTGCTGTTTTTTGCTTCTTTATTTCTGTGTAAGGGCCCCTCGTGGGCTTCGTAAACATCTCTTATTCATATAAGAATTTCTTCATTTTGCTTTCGATTTGTATTGAACTTCATTTTGCTTTCGTTTGTGATAAATGCAAGTGTATGACCCTAATGATTAGTCCGAATATTGGGCCTCGGGAATAGTAAACCCTTAGGTTTTTAGTTGATTAATATGATGCTTCGTAAAGTCTTTTACTATCCCTTGGACTAAGGTTGGATTGATTTGATGCGAACTTAGGTCACCGAGACTTCTGAGTCCGAGTTGAGTGGGAGCTGGGCCTTGATTTTTGAAATAAAACCAGCCTGTTGATAGCCCTCGAGTGAGAATTTTCTCGAACTCAAGTGGCCTTTAGACTTAATAGTCGAGTGAGCGTTTGCTCGAACTTGAAATAAAGATAGCCATGAGGCTTTGTAAATAGTCCCTGAGTGAGGACTCGCTCAAACTTGGGTAGCCCTTGGGATTAACAGTCATGTGAGCATTAGCTCGAACTCGAAATACAGATAGCCCTGAGGCTTTGCAAATAGTCCCCGAGTGAGAGTTTGCTCAAACTCGGGTAGCCCCTAATTCAGCAAAAATTTGTTGAAACTTTGAAATAAAGATGGCCCTAAGGTTTTATAGATAGTCCCCGAGTGAGAACGTACTCGAACTCGGGTAGCCCTTGGGCTTAATATTCGAGCGAGCGTTCGCTCGAACTCGAAATAAAGATAGCCCTGAGGCTTTATAAATAGTCCCTGAGTGAGAACTTGCTCGACTCGGGTATCCCTTGGGCTAAATAGTCGAGTGAGCATTTGCTCGAACTTTAAATGAAGATAGCCCTAAGGCTTTTATAAATAGTCCCCGAGTGAGAACTTGCTCGAACTCGGGTAGCCCTTGGGTTAAATAATCGAGTGAGTGTTTGCTCGAACTCGAAAGGGAGATAGCCCTAAGGCTTTATAAATTGTCCCCGAGTGAGAACTTGCTCAAACTTAGGTAGCTCTTGGGCTTAAATAGTCGATCGAGCGTTCACTCGAACTCGAAATAGAGATAGACCTGAGGCTTTATAAATGGTCCCCAAGTAAGAACTTGCTCGAACTCGGGTATCCCCTGGGCTTAGTAACCGAGTGAAGGTTTACTCAAACCCGACTCGTAGATTGTTCTTAATAATTTCTAACAAGTTTATTCCCTATGCCTGGGCCCTGACGTTAACATCATGACACAAGTGCTTGAAATGAATGAAGGGTTGCTTTTTGTACGATTCCCAAAATCATTAATTGTAGGCAGCTGACGGTCGACCTTTTGGCTTCCTCAACACGTTTAAACAAACTTTATAAATAGACAAAACCCCATAACCTCGCAGATTCTACTCTCTCAATGCTTCAAAATTTTCATTTAGCCCTTTTCAATTTCCTTGAACTCTCCCTTCTCTTTTCTAACAACATTTTCCATTTTCTCGGATCTTTAGAGATGGCCAGAACTTCTAAATCTATTCCTCAAAAGGAAAATGCTTCATCATCTTCACGAACGACCAAAGGTAAACTGGTAGTTCCTCCTAGCATCAAG